TACTGTAGAAAGATGACTCAGAATGAATGGTAGAGAATAAATTGGGGGAAAAAGTATCTTAATAAGTGTTCTCTAGAGGAAACAGCCACTAGCATGTCTGTATATATGTGTCTATCTGTCAATTAATCATCAGTCGTTTTAAAGAATTAGCCATACATGTATGAGAGTCTTAAATTGAAAATCTAGAGTCAGTTGGCTGGCTGGAAACCCGGGAAAGAGTTGAAGTTGTAGCCTTGTGTCTAAAGGCAGTCTGGAAGCAGAATTCTTAGGGTAGCTCAGTCTTTTTCCTGAAGAACTTCAAGGATTAAGAGGAGGTACATTCTATAATGGAGGACAGTTTACTATATTCAAGACTTTACTGATTTAAGTATAAAGCATACCTAAAAAATGCTTCCTTTGCAAGATGTATACTAGCATTTGAAAAAAAAATAAACAATTAAAGAAAGGGTATCATGGTCTACTTAAGTTGATGCATTAAAATCAACCATTGCATAGGGAGTCCAGGTAAGATGGAATGTGAGATGATCTGTGATTATGAATTTCTAAGGAATATTTCCTCAGTCTTAAACATTACCAGATTTTCTGTAACTACCATTCTACTTTCATCATCAGGTGTTATGTTTTTATGTAACTAAGGATTTAATATTTGAAAGGTAAATTATAGTCTTTTATTTTTGCTACGTTTTATACATTTTTTAAAACTGGGTAAACTGAAATGTCATCACTGAGAAGTATAAAGAAGATTGTGAAAACACAAATTAAACTGAGTAATAAATTACTGCCTTAAGATCTTAAATCACTATCTTTTAATGGCATTTTGTGTTTATGTTTTTAAATCAATTTATGTGAATCCTTTAGTAACTGCAAAATAGCAGCACAAAACTAAGTTTTAGATTTTATTTAAAAATAGATGTCTATAAAATAACACTCTCTGTCTAGATAGAAAATGGAGTCTAGTGAGGCAGACAAAGAAAAGCATTGCTTGCTACTAAATTTTATGAGGTAACATTGCCATAAAACACACCTCTTATAATTATCCACTCACAAATTGTCCCATCAAAATGACATACCCACACTTTTTACCTTGATCCTTAAGTAGCTATGTTCTGCTTTGTAACTGATCGTGTACTAAGTAGGGAGACTAAATTCCTTAACCCCCAACATCCCAAAACAATTTGTGATTTATTTGGTGACGGCTGAGTCCATATAGTTTGTGCAGAGCACATCGCTTTCTTCAGTAGCCAGAGAAATTCCACTGTACTCAGAAGCAGAGATTTAGTTTATGTAGGGTGAAGACATTTACTAGTTACATGGTTACCTTTAGTCACATGGGCCCTCATTCAAAACTAATTCTGCAATCGGAACTGATGATATTCCATATGTTAACAGGGCATGAAAGTATTATTTATTATAGAGTTGAGAGAATTGTTCAAGCACATCCAAAATGAGAAAAAGAAAGAAAATTGCCTGAAATTTTATTCCAGTTACAGTGTGGGATTAGGATCAGAGCTGCACTATTAGGGCAAGAGCTTGTGTAGTTCAAATCTCCTGCTGGTGGCAAAGAGAAAAAAGCCTGGACTTTCTTATGAGTCTGTTTAGATGTGTTCACAAGGAAAGGAGGAGGATAAAATATAGCTTAAAATCTGTCAGCATCAGACATCAAAAAGTTGAAGTCAACATCATCTTTGTACTGGTTTATTTATACCTATAAAAAGGCATAAGTCTATTAATAAGTCTATCTATAAGTTGAAGGCAATTATTTAGACTACACAATTCTTTAAGGAAAGCTATGATTTCTGGAAAACTTTCAACTGCTAGTTTTGTCAAAATGAAGGCTGCCCTGATTATCTTTAATAGTCAGTCTGACACAGCCTAGAGTCATCTTAGAGGAAAATTTCATTTGAGGAATTGTCTATATGACATTGGCCTGTTGTCATGTCTGTGGGAGATTGTCTTGATTATTGTTGTTGGAGGAGAGCCCAACCCACTAGGTAGCGCCATCCCTAGGCAGGTGGTCTTGAATTGTATAAATAAGTTAATTTAGTATAGCTCCATGGAGACACCAAATGAGCCTTTGATGAAGATGCAGCCTTAGTAGCAGTGGAGTCTCCAGGTTATTGGAGATGTCAGGACCATGGAATGTTTGCCAAGAGCAATGGCAAGTGTGAAGTGAAGACAGCCTAGGTCTGAGACCAGTGTGTGTGCTGCAGGTGGCAGAGCTGTAGACTTAGACATTTAAATTTGTTCCTTGTTTATAGCCAGAAATATAATTGATTTTTAAAGCTTTTAATATTTCATTTATTGTGTGTGTGTGTGTGTGTGTGTGTGTGTTTATGTTGTGTGTGTGTTAGGGAAAATGGGAGCTAGGACTTGCCAGAGTTGGTTAGATGATTCTCTCTTTCTACCATGTGGCTCCTGAGAATCAAACTCAGGTTGTCAGGTTTGGTGACAGGTATGTTGACATGCTGAGCCATCTGATAGCCTCTAACATATGATATTTCATTCTTCACGATCCAATTAATTTAGGAGCCATGTAGCAGTTTTGTGGTTTTCTTCCTAAGTTATGATACATTCTACATATAGATGCAATTTTAATTCTTCCTTTCCCATCTGCATGCCATTTAATTTTTTTACTCTATTCCTCTTACTACTACATGTAGTATGATATTAAATAGATAGAGACAATGACCATGGATCTTTGCCCTTTCAGTATGTGAAACTCAAGATGTTATCCTTTTCCTGTTTGCAGTTATGAGACTGCTGTGCAGATTTTCCTTAGATGACCTTCTGTGAGGGAATTTGTTTTCCTCGTTTACTGGAGATTATGAATGAGCTCTCACCTTTTATCAGTAGCCTTTTCTGTATCTATAAAAAATTGTTCTAAGTTAATTGAATGAACTACATTGATTTTTCAAGGTTAAACCGACTTTGAATTCCAAGGACAAATTCTATTCAATTACAGCATACAATTACTCTTATACATTGTATTTAGTTGGCTAAAATTTTTATTTTCATTTTCAAATTTGTGTTCAAAGGAGATTCTAGTCTGAAAATCTAATTTTATATTTTTTATTTGTCTCCAGAATGCCATTTTCATAAAATGTGTCTGAAACTAATTTTTCTTTATGCACTCTCTAGCATTCTGTAAAACTGGTACTTAAAGAAATGTTTCATAAAGGTGACAACTGATGTCATCTGGTCCTGGGACTTCCTTTGGGAAAGAGTTCTAGTTAGAATTTAGTTTTATTAGTTGATATGTTATTTGTTTCCTATTTTTGTATAGTTTGTGTTTTTCCAAGACTTCTTCCATTTCATATACTTTGTAAGATTAATTGGTATAGTAATTTTCTTATTTATATTTGATTTCTGATGACATATCTCCTTGTAGGTACTTACATAAGACATCTGTGTTCTTCTTGTTGATAAGTCTGGATGGATGTTACCAATTTTAGTTAATTTTTTCAAGTCAGTTTTTTATTTTTTTGATTTTTGTTGTTACTTTACTTAATTGATTTCTCTGCTTCCCTTGTTACTGCTTTGTTTATGCTGCTCTTGGGATTAATTTACTTTAAAATTACTTTTTCTAGCTGGGCAGTATGGCGCATGCCTTTAATCCCAGCACAGGGGAGGCAGAGGCAGGCGGGTCTCTGTGAGTTCAAGGCCAGCCTGGTCTACAAGAGCTAGTTCCAGGACAGGCTCCAAAGCTACAGAGAAACCCTATATTAAAAAACCCCCCAAATTTTTTTTTAGCTTCTACTTAGGTAGGTGTGGAGGGTATGGGAAGATTTGGGGAAGGAGAAAAATTATCAGAATATATTATACGAGCACAAATTTCTTCTAAATGTTTTTCTATGTCTAAAGCTTAGGTAATTAATTTGAGATACTTTTGTATTTTTTAACAAAGTTTATCATAAAGTCTAAATTTTCATCAAGTATGGCTAACCCTAACCCTAACTCTAACCCCATACTTCTGATGCATTATATTTTTTCACTCTATTATAATTTTTTGTAATTATCATGTGAAGTGATTATCTTAAGCCTTGGAAATATTTATGTTCTGTAGTCTAGTTTATGTTATATCAATATTTTTCATTTCTATATTTTGATAGTGTTTCATGGCATATAAGTTTTGAAGTTTTAAACTTTTAATCTATTTAGTACATTTGTACACACACACACACACACACACACACACACACACACACACACCCTGTTTTGCTTTGTTCTGCGTTCGACAACAGTTCATATGTTCCAGTCTAGCTTATAACTAACCACAACCCTAGGCCGGCCTCAGAGTGCAACAATTCTCCTGTCTCAGCTTTTTAAGTGCTGAGATTAAAGTTATGAGCCATTGTATCTGGTTTATTTCTAAATTTTAAAAGGAGTTACTGTAGGCATTGTATAGTTTGATGGTTTTAAAATGTGGTTAGAAGGGCTTTATATTAATATTGTTATCAATATAGCCAACATTCTTAAATATATTAAATCATTTTATTATAGGACAGAGTCTCTCTATGTAGTCCTGGCTGTTCTGAAACTTATTATGTAGACCAGGCCAGCCTGAAACTCACAGAGACCCTCCTATCGCTGCCTCCCAAGTGCTGAGATTAAAGGCATGTATTACCATGCCCAGCTAACCTAAAACAGTTTTTATGATTTCATTTATTTAATCTTTCAATTGTTTGAACCTACTCTGGAGAAAGAACTGTTTAATCAGATAAATATTAAAAGAAACGATATGTGTCTGAATTCTCAATTCTTGTTTTACTTTAATGGGAAGGAAACTCCTTCCAATGCTTTACTATAATTCTTCTAACTTTTAGACTATTACTCATTTATACCACATAATTAAATTTGTGTAAAGTAAAATATTTCAATTTCTTAAAAAATAAGAACAACGAAGAATCAAAACATTAGTTGCTAAATAAGTCAGATTCTCCTTCACCTTTTAATATTTGTGCTAATGCAAGCGTTAGAATCCTTGACTTTGATTGTGTTAGACTTGGGAGGCCTGGTGTTGACTGTCACTGCCAGCATGAAAGTGGTGCGGCTGTCTTGCAGCTCCAGTTCCTGATCAATGAGGTAAGATACTTTTTCACCATTTCAAACACATGCACACAGTATTTTTGATTATCTAAATCACATATATGCACATATTCACACTCACAAATTATTACTGATTGAGTATTCCTTATCTAAAACAATTGGGTTTACAAAGTCTATGGATCTTAGATTTTAAATTTTGGAATATTTGCATATGTATTGAGACACCTTGGAAAAGATATCCACATCTAAATATTAAGTTCATTTATAGTCTTTGTATACCCTATACACATAGTTTGAAGGTAATTTTGTATATATTTTCAATGCTCTTATATTTTGAATTTAATCACAGTAGATTAGATATGGAATTTTCCCTTTGTGGACCTTTTTAACTTTTGGAGCATCTAAGATTTTGTATATTTGGATATTCAACCTGTAGTTGATATAATTCTTTTTGATATTATGATTTTAGATGTTTAAAAATAGATATGTATCTTTACTAGTATTCACATTTTTTCATATTTTTATATTAAATTTAAAATCTAATAGGAAATACTAAATTTAATATAAGACATTAAATTTAAAATCTAATTCTAATACTAAACTTAGTAAGAGAAAAGCATTTTGTCTATCAGAAGATCCTTTTATTATGATTGTATATCATAATTTTAAAATTTATTTAATATTTTTCCAAATCATTAAGCTTTCTTTCTACTCACTTTCTTCCCCCAATTTAAATATTTTGCTTGTATCAAAATTGAAAGTATATTCTTACTTACCAGTAGGATTTTGTGTGTATAATCCGTGCATCTTTTATCTGTATATATTATGTTTTTAATGTGAGATATTTGGGACAATTAAGAAAGGAAGGATTGTGACTTAATAGTGATGTGTTTGTGTTGACAAGAGGTTAATTGTGCTGGCTAGTTTTATGTTAACTTGGCACAAGATAGAGTTACCTGAAAGGAGGAAACCACAACTGAAAAAATACCTCCATAAGGTCCAACTGTAAGGAAATTTCTTAATTAGTGATTAATGGTGGAAGGCCCAGCCCATTATGGGTGGGGCTTTCCCTGGGCTGGCCCTCCTGGGTTCTGTAAGAAAGCTGACTCAGTTAGGCAGTAAGCAGCATCCCTCCATGGCCTCAGCGGCCTTAGCTCCTGCTTCCAGGATCCTGGCCTGTTTGAATCCCTGTCTTGGCTTCCTTTGAGGAGGAGCAGTGCTGTGGAAATAGAAGCCAAACACACTCTTTTGTTTTTGGTTTAGGAACTGTTTCAGAAAGACATTTAGAGTCTTGTTTCTCTTAATTTCTGGAAAAGAAGTGAAGTTGGAAATTTAAAAAAAGGTTTAAAATATATAGAATATAAATAAGAGAGTGTGTGACTGAGGTTGTAAACTGTGAAAGATTATCTTTAGCAAAGTTGTTTGAGAAATATATAAAGCATTTTAGGCATCTCAAGATCACCATGCATCTACCAGACAGCTATTAGAGAACATTTAGTACTTTAGGTGTCATTTCAGTGGGGAAGGTAGTACTAGAGTAAAAGTTCTGACAACTTCAGATGATCTTTAGATGTGTGTATAAAATTAAATGTGACAGTTATCTGCATATATGCTTTCTGTTACTTTCAATGGTAGAACATATTCTATTGTGTTTGAGATAGGATTAATTTGTAATTGGTGTTATAAGGTAAAGGATTTTAGTATTATTTTTATAGTTATACCTAATTCAATGTGAAGAAATATTTTATTATAGGTATTTTTAAATATCACTGGTAAAGCTTTTTAGATTGTAAGCAGGCTAAATTATAAAATACATAATTTTAAGAAATAATGCACAATTTTTAGATAAAAGAGTTTCAGAGGATAATCTTATATGATCTGTATTTGATTGATAAAAATGGGTTGGGGATTGGCTTCTCTAGTATTGAAGTTATATATTATTTATGTGCATAATAGAAACAAAAATTAAATTCTATATTTTTAAAGGAAATAAAAGAAAACCCTTTAATAGTCACAGTGATGCTGCCCTCCTCCATGGTAAATATCATGACCAAAAGAAACTTGGAGAGGAATTGTCTGATTTCGTCAAACAGGTTGTAGTCCATCACTGAGGGAAGTCAGAGCAGGAGCTCCCTCAGGGAAGTAACTAACTGAAGAGGTAACTGAAGTGGAGGAATGCTTCTGCCTGGCTTGCTCCCCCGCTGGCTCATGCTCAGTTAGCTTTCTTATAGAACCTGTGACCATTTGCCTGGGGGCGGGGGACACTGCTTATAGTTTTCTGGGCTCTCCCACATATATTAGTAATCAATAAATATGCTGCAGACATTCCACAGGTGGATCTGATGGAGGCATTTCCTCAGATGAGCCCCCCCCCCACTCAAGTGACTCTATTTGTGTCAAGTTGATAAGAAGACCCAACCAGTATGGATGGCTTATTGATTATTCCTCTCTAACAGTAAAAGGGTATTTCTGAACAAGTCATCCTGGCCGTCCTTGTGTAGTAAGCCACTTACCTCTCCAACTCAACAACCTTAAACTTTCATACTATAATTTCCTTCTTTTTTTTCTAGGCTACATAAGTACATATCTATTCAAGCAATGATAAATTTATAAATTTGTTGTTTCTCCTGTCCTAGTAGGTAAGCTATATATCTTGTCTGCTTTTCTCACAGGGCGCTTTGGTTAGTGCGAGTTCAGATGACACACTTCATTTGTGGAATCTGAGACAGAAAAGGCCAGCCATTCTTCATTCTCTTAAGTTTAACAGAGAACGGTAAGAACCTTTGTGAATAACTGTATGATGTGACAGAACTATATCTCAAGCAAGTTTCATGCTAGTTTGACAGACTTCTTTTATAACTTTAAGCTATTGCCAGGTTTTTTTTACATAGAAAATAAATAATTGGGATAGAGCCAACCTCTTATGAAAATGTGAAATGCCTAAACCTTTTTTCTCTGAGCTATTGAACATCACCTCAGCAATCATATTTTCTTTTACCTGGGTTATGGCAATGAAAACATAGACCTAAGATTTAAAAATCAGTAAAAGCAAATTTAGTTCACATATTTTTTTTATTATTTCAGATATCTCCAGCGTTCCAGCCCTTACCCTCTTATCTAAATACTTTTTAGTAGTAATGTCATTCTAATTAAACACTAAATTTTAGCATTGCCAAAGATGATACTTTAATAAAAATTCATTTCCCCTCCTTTTAGAATGATCATAGCCAGGGGTTTTATTTGAACGGAAACAGAAGTTATTTTATTGGTAATAATTTGTGTCATATTTTAATATTTCCAGTGTTTGATTCAATTAGATGACCTAGACCTCTGCATATCCACTTAACTAAGAGTCATCAGTGATCAAGCAAACACTGAGATGTACATTAACTATTTAGAGTAGTCTATCTACTATGTGGGAAGCAACCAGACTTTTCTTTTAATAGTAAATGGAAAAGCACACCACAGGATAATTTGATGTTAAAGAGAGGAAGAGAAACCTTTGAGAAGTGAATTTAAACAGATTGACACCATTCAAACCAAGGTAGAAACCGGAGGACAGCAGTTTTGACCCAGAGCTATTTGTAGATGATATGATAGTGTGCATAGTGATCCCAATAAACAAATCTTAACATAAAATTATTTTGTGTGTATTCACTGCTACCATATAGAGATACAATTAAGCTTTGAATGTTGATTTGTAATTTACATTTCACTAAACTCACCAAAGTGTTCCAGGTTCAGACAGATGCATGTACATAGGAACTACGTGGTTAGGCAGAATATCTCCCATGTATCCTGTGCCTGTGCGTGTTCAAATGTCCTGTTCTCACCATCTGAGTTCCTCATCTTATCTAGAAATGGTCTTAATGGGACTTAGTAGTAGCTATGAACAGAGACATATATGTCTTCTGCTACTTCTCTACACATCATTATTACCTTGCATTTTCAGTGTTTATTGTATATCTTCCAAAACCTTAACCTCATGTTTGCAGACCTGTGCTTAGAAGTATCTATGCTTTAAGCTGGGCGGTGGTGGTGCATGCCTTTAATCCCAGCACTAGGGAGGCAAAGGCGGGTGGATCTCTATGAGTTTGAGGCCAGCCTGGTCTAAAGAGCTAGTTCCAGGATAGATTCCAAAGCTACAGAGAAACACTGTCTTGAAAAACAACAACAACAAAAAAACAAAAAATGAAGTACCTATGCTTTCTTAAATTTTCTGCTCTCACTGTCCTGACTTTCTAAAATAATCATCTTTTCATTTGACTTTTGTAAGTGATCTAGTGTAACAGTAGAACATATTCATAAACAGAAGAATGTGACAAGAAGCACCACTGTGTTTTGCCATGTTGTTCACATATAGTGCTGTGATATTTGTGATTTTAAGGTAATCACAGTGTTTATTTTTAAATAAGCACAAGGCGATGTGTCAGGTCTGTAATAGAGGAAGCAGACAACCCTGAAGGGAGGACCTGTGGTGGCTGCTTTTATGTTTGTTTGACACAAGCTAGAATCATTTGGGAAGAATTCTCAGTTGAGAAAACACCTTCATAAGATCAGGCTGTAGGTAGGCACAGAGTGCCTTTTTTTTTTTTTAAGTTAGTAATTGATGTGGGAAGGCCCAGCTCATTGTGGGTGGTGCTACTTCTCATCTGGTGATCTTGGATTCTATAAGAAAGTAGACTGAGCAAGCCATAAGAGCAAGTCAGTAAGTAGCGCCCCTCCATAGCCTCTGAATCAATTCCTGCCACTAGGTTCATCTCTTGGGTTCTTGCCCCAATTTCCCTGGATGATGAACTTAAAGCTATAACATAAAACAAATCCTTCCCTCCTCAAGTTTGTATTGGTCATGGTGTTATGTCACAGCAATAGCAACTGCAACTAAGACAAGGCCCCTAACTAAGACATAGCCCCTAACTAAGACATGGCCCCTAGATAAGACAGAGTCTCTAACTAAGACATGGCCCCTAACTAAGACAAGGCCCCTAGCTAAGACATGGCCCCTAACACAGAGCCATAGTTTTTTTTTTTAATTTTTCATTAAAAATTTCCACCTCCTCCCCTCCTCCCATTTCACTCTCCTTCCTCCCATCCCCCCTCCCTCTCCAGTCCAAAGAGCAGTCAGGGTTCCCTGCCCTGTGAGAAGTCCAAGGTCCTCCCCTCTTCCATTCAGGTCTAGGAAGGTGAGCATCCAAACAGGCTAGGTTTTCACAAAGCCAGTCAAAATCCAGTGCCATTGTCTATGGCTTCTCAGTCAGCCATCCTTGTTCACCACGTTCAGAGAGTCTGGTTTGATCACATGCTCCATCATTCCCAGTCCAGCTGGCCTTGGTGAGCTCCCATTAGATCAGCCCCACCGTCTCAGTGGGTGGGCACACCCCTCATAATCCTGACTTCCTTGCTCATGTTCTTCTCCCTCCTGCTCCTCATTTGGACCTTGGGAGCTCAGTCCAGTGCTCCAATGTGGGTTTCTGTCTCTAGCTTCATCCATTGCCAGATGAAGGTTCTGTGGTGATATGCAAGATATTCATCAGTAGAACCATAGTTTTTATACAGACTACAGTTTGCTTCAACTGAAAACAGATGACAGTGACATTCTAAGAATTACCCTGTATTATTGCTTTTCATTCATGTTAATTTCCTCTATCTGATGAGAATAGTTACTGTCACCTAGCTTATCATAATGACACAGAAAAGTTATAGAGCAACCACAGTTTGATTTTCTTCCAAATCTTCCCCACATATTAGGAAGCGAATGTTGATATAGTGATGGCATGTAAGCATCAGCAAGTGAGAGAAAAGTGCATTCTAGCTTGCGGTGCTTGTGCTTTGACAAGAATCATATGTATATTATAAAATATCAATTATTTCAGCAACTAAGAATATGGGTTATGTGTATCATTTTTTTATTTGAAAATACTGGCACACAAAATAAAAATGAGTGTTAATTCATTTTGAGACATAAATTTTAACTTTTTCTTTATTTAGAAAAACAAAGATGAAAAGTCAAGAGATAAGTGACTAAAGAAAAAGTTTTATATTTTATTACTCAATTGCTTTGGTTTTGAATAAAACCCCCTATAGTTATATTTTGCACAATTTATGAATCAGTCTTAGTTCTAAGAATTTGTTTTGTAGGCTTCTTGAAATCTTGCACTTAAAAAAGCATATAATCTGAAAATAGAGAAAAATATTCAACTTAAAATTATAAGATTATTGTTATTATTATTATTTTTTTTTTTTTGGTTTTTCGAGACAGGGTCTCTCTGCAGCTTTGGAGCCTGTCCTGGAACTAGCTCTGTAGACCAGGCTAGTCTCGAACTCACAGAGATCCGCCTGCCTCTGCCTCCCGAGTGCTGGGATTAAAGACATGCGCCACCTTATTAAACTACCTTTTCCTGTCCTAACATACTGCCTAGATAATGCTGTGTCAATGGTAAGAATGGGCAGCCTTGCTTTTTTCTGTCTTAGGTGAAAAAGCTAATTTACTGTTTTACCACTGAGGAAAATATTAGTTGTATGTTTTAGCAAGTTAAGAAAATGTATCTATATTACTAGTTCTTTGAGTTTTTAACATCATGAATGACACTTTGTGTTTGAATTTAAACCTTTCTTCTATGAGATCCCATTTATATGTTTTCTCTAATACATTTGCAATCACTTAGTGTGATTGGCTCACAACTTTTTTCAAATTGGGTGGTTTTTTTTATATATTATTGTTTTGACTGTTTATTTTAGATTCATAGTTTCAATGTTGTTTATGTGCCTCTAATTGATGCTCGTCTGACTTCTTAATGTAGGCCTAGACACTTTAGGCATTAATGTAGGCCTAGACACTTTAGGCATTATGTTATAAAATTCTTCTTTTTTTTTTTTTTTTTTTTTTTTTTTTTTTAATAATTTTTTTATTAAGAAAAGAAGAAAAAAAACATAAACAAAAAACAAGTTTCCACCTCCTCCCAGCCTCCCATCTCCCTCCCCCTCCTCCCACCCTTCTCCCCCTCCTCCCACCCTTCTACCCCTCCCCCCACTCCTCTCCCCCTCCCTCTCCAGTCCACAGAGCAGTCCAGGTTCCCTGCCCTGTGGCAAGTCCTAGGTCCTCCCCCTTCCGTCCATATCTAGGAAGGTGAACATCCAAACTGGCTAGGCTTCCACAAAGCCAGCACATTAAGTAGGATCAAAACCCCGTGCCATTGTCCTTGGCGTCTCATCAGCCCTCATTGTTCGCCATGTTCAGAGAGTCTGGCTTTATCCCATGCTTTTTCAGTCACAGTCCAGCTGGCCTTGGTGAGCTCCCAGTAGATCAGCTCCACTGTCTCAGTGGGTGGGTGCACGCCTCGTGGTCCCGACTTCTTTGCTCCTGTTCTCCCTCCTTCTGCTCCTCATTGGGACCTTGGGAGCTCAGTCCAGTGCTCCAGTGTGGGTCTCTGTCTCTGTCTCCATCCATCACCAGATGAAGGTTCTATGATGATATGCAAGATATTCGTCAGTATTGCTCTCGGATAGGGTCATTTCAGGTTCCCAGTCCTCAGCTACCCAAGGAACTAACTGGGAACCTCATGTTGGGCACTTGGGAGCCCCTCTAGGGTCAAATCTCTTGCTCACCCTAAAGTGGTTCCCTTAACTAAGAATTGTGGTTCCGTGCTCCCCTATCCACCTTTCCTTTATCCCAATTCTCCTGATTCCCCAAGTCCCCCCTCCTTCCCTTCTACCTTTTCTCTCCCCATCTCCCCTTACCCCCATCCCACCCCACCCCCAAAATCCTAATTTTCT